TTCAAAATAAACAGATGAAATAAAACCTTAGCCACTTTAATATTGGATATCTTAGACCACATATTGAGCATACGGTCTTTGAAATGTATATAACTAATGCATGTCTTCCTTGATTGCTGATTCAATAAATCTGTTTCCATTTTTATTAATTTTATGATTAAGGATTGTAAACGGTATGTCTTTTTTAAGCTATGATATTTCTAACCAAAATAAAATGCCTGACTTAACAAAATATTAGTTTACTTCATTTTAACTTCCATTTCATTTTCCTAAGGAACATGAAGCTATAAGCCACTAAATAGTCTCTTAGCATAAATATCCTGTGCTCTATGGTTCATATTGCTTCAATAGCTTTAAGATTTGCTCCAAATAAAATTCTACTTGATATTTATAACTCATCCAGAATATATTAGTTGAAAGGAGTCAATGAAAAGGAGTTTTATTTTTTTTAACTAAGGCCAATTTGTTGAAATATAATTTGTAGTGGAGTTCCATCATTAACATTCCAGAGCTGACAATGACATCTGCACAATTTCAGCTGGAGAAAAACAATATTTCTTGAGTAGAAATAATTTTAGTGGGTGTTTTAATTCTTTCTTAATGAATAATGACAGTATGACAGTAACAGCATTTTGACTATGCTGTCAATTTGAAGTTAGATGTAGGCAATCTATCAGACTTCTTTTATTTAGCTAATTGGAAAAGAAGAGGGAGATGGAACTGAGATTTACACTCTATTGGGAACTTAGAGACAAATTAAAATGTTAGATATAATTAAATCATAGAGCTTAAAGGGACTTGAGAGGTCATCTATCTAGACAAATTGCTTTCATCTGAGAAGGAACAGACTTAAGTCACCCTTGGATGATTGCTATGTGAACCCTATAAAACAACCCTATTAGCTTAGCAACTCAAAGCAATGATGACATTCTTTATCACTGGAAAAATCATTCCAGTATCTCAATAGCTTGAATTGCAGGTAAACACTTTTGCTACGTCATTGATTTATATGAAGAATGACATATTAGAAATGAAAATTAAAAAGCTGTCAAATCAGGATTGCTCTGCTTTTATCTGATGTAGGTGTGTCATTGACAGTTTTGCATAGACAGATTTCCTTCAAATATTTTCATTATTTCTTTGACGATATTTACTTGTGTGAATCCCAGCACTGCTGCTCTCCTCTCTTTAAGGTCTTCCTTTATCGCTTCCCTGCACTGCTTTGAGAGCTTGGGCGTTAGCTTTTGGTTGCCTGAGGCTCACACCCAACCAGGTTGGTGAATGGGCTCGAGAGTTTTTTGAAGACAGGCATCTTTTTGTGACTTTCTCTCTCTCGGAGTTCCTCGCACAATCCTGGAGGTGCTGAACCAGTCCATTGTATTCTTTGTCAATGTCTTCAATGACTGTATCTTCCCATGTTTTTGCAATAGTGCTAAAGAGCTCCCAGTTGGTGGTCGTTCTGGGAGTTCTCTTCTTAAACTTTGCAGACCTTTTTCCCCCGCTCCTTGAAGTAGAATTTTGCATGAAGGAGAGAGTGGTTTGATCCTGTTTGGAATTTTGGGACAACAGTGACATTGGTCAGGCAAAACTGTCAATTGAATATGATATGGTCAATTTCATTTTTGAACCATCCACCAGGAGACTCCCATGTCCAATGATTAGATTTGGCCTTCTGGAACACTGAGTTACCATGGACGGTCTTGGTTGACATGACAAACTCAGACAGTCTCTCACCCTATTTGTTCCATTCTAGGCCATGAGTTCTGATGTGGAGTTCCTTGGGCGATCTTCTTGGTCCTATCTTGGCATTAAAATCACCGACAATGATTTTGTAGAAGGTGTGGTCTTCTTTATAGTACTCCAGTTCCATGTAGAACTTCTCAATTTCTTCTTCATCGTAAATTGATGTTGGTGCATAGACAATGAAGATAGAAACTGTCAGCAGTGAGCCACATCTATTCAAGTGTAATCATCTAATTCAGGTTATTAGGCATTCAAATGAGTCAATCCTCATGGCATATGTGATAGAAGCCAGGAAAAGCATTCGCAATGCCCGCCTGTCCTTTGCCAACTATAAGACCATGATGACTGCCCTTCGACATCCTAATGGATCTATCACATCTTCCAGCAGGAAAATGGAGATTATCCACGACTTCTATTCAGATCTTTTCGATAGCCATGTCCACCTGCCCACATATCAAATTCCACAGGATGGATATGTTGTTCCAAACGTTCTCCCTTCTGGAACCCGACACACCATTTCATTGGTAAAGAAGCCAAGAGCACCCGGTCCAGACAATGTCAGACCCAAACACCTGAAGAATCTGCCATCAGTTCTCATCAGTACACTGGCTCGGCTCTTCACACGCTACCTGTCTGAATGCAAGTTTCCATCCCATTGGAAAACCAGCAGGACTGTACTACTGTACAAGAAGGGAGACATCCACGACATTGGCAACTATCACCCAATCTGCCTGTTGTCTGTCGTCTACAAGCTGTTGACTTAAGTCATCCTGAATAGGATTGGCAGAACACTAGATGAAGGACAACCATGCAAGCAAACTGAGTTCCAAAAAGGATTCAGCACGATCAACCATATCCACATGGTAACCAATGTCATTGAGCTTTCTTCGGAGTTCAAGATACCACTCTGTCTAACATTCATTGATTTAAAGAAGGTCTTTGATTCTGTTGAGACTGAAGCAGTCTTCGAAGCCCTAGCAAAACAGGGCATTCAAACTCAATACATCAGGATCCTCTGTGAGCTGTATTACAGATTCACTACCAGTGATTATCGACGTCAAGAGAAGGGTTCAGCAGGGTGATACCATTTCATTGAAACTCTTCAGTGCCACCCTGGAGAATGTAATGCAACAACTGGAATGGGAAGAAATGGGAGTGAAGATAGGTGGTTGGCAACTACACTACCTCTGCTTCACTGATGACATCATTATAATAACACCAAACATTAGCCAAGTGGCACAAATGCTGGCCAACTTCGACCGTGAGTGTGGAAAGGTTGGACTGCAGTTGAATATCACAAAGACAATGTTTATAAGAAAAGGACTCGTTCCTAATATTCCATTTGCTCTCAATGAAACAAACATCTCCGAATGCAGCAGTTATGTGTACCTAGGTTGAGAACTCAACATAATGAATGGCCTGGCACCAGAGTTGCACAGGAGGAAGAGAGCAGCATGAAACTCTTTCAAGAGCATCAAAGAAATAGCTAAGTGGACGAAGAACCTCCGACCCCAGGCTCATCTTTTCGACTGCACCATTCTTCCTGCATTAACATACACCTCAGAGACCTGGGCCCTACAAAGCAGGATGAGAACATTATTGGGGTCTCCCAAAGAGGAATCAAAAAAGCTATGCTTGGAGTATTATGCTTTGCTCAAGTGAGAGAAGTTATACAGAGTTCCGACTTCCATGAATGATCGAGAATTAGGGATGCTGTCTCGTTTGCCAAGGCATCGAAAATCAGATGGACTGGACACATAATGCGATTTGGAGTTGATCTCTGGACTAGAGCCATTACTGACTGAATTCCACGGGATGTCAAAAGACTGTGTAGCCACCCACCTACAAGGTGTTCAGACTTCATCAAGAGTCTGAATGATCGGTTTGAGGCTCTTCATGATTCTGGAGCGAGCAGATGCCATTGGGCTACATGAGCACGAGACAGGAATGAATGGAAATGTTACTGGTGACCACTTGCACAAATCGATGTGTAACGGGATGTCAAGTGATCAAGTGAAGTGTGAATCCCACCTTTTTCCCTCAAAGCTCATCACAATCACAATCACAACCATACTGTTATTCGTCGATTGCCTCTAGCAGGCCCCAGTAACGTCTCCTTCATCCTAGCCCTGAGATTCTTTAAAAAAAAATGCCATATTCAAGGCTCTTTCAGAGTTAGGAGAATGAGACCCTTCATTGTTACCGGTATTTGGCATATTGGGTACGCCACGGGGAGTTTGCCAGACTCTGCAGTGTGAGCAGGTTACATTCAGTAGCCTGCCAGTTTGTCCAAAGTAGGAATGAGATGATAAGATGTCGCGCAGCTGCGAATGCTGCCGCGTGTGCTTCCGGGACCTGTGTTTTATAGTCTCTGAGTCTTGGCCGTTGATGGAATTACACAGTGCCAGGGGGCCAGTAGGTGGGTGTGACCCCCGCCTACTGGAATTTGGAGGTCTGGGTGGCGGATGCTCAGCCCCGATCCGAGTAGGCTTGGAGATCTTGGCCCCGGGACCCGCGTGGCTTTGTTCCTCTGCCAGTACCTTCATGTGTGTGGACAGTGGTCTCAGCATGGTGGTGGCTGGTTCTGGAGGTCTTCGGCTGCCGGAGCCCTGGTCGGGGCGGGGAGGAAAACTCAACCCGCTCCCCTCCAAGGGACCCCGGTGAGGACAGCAGGGCGCGGGGCAGGAGACTCTGTGCTGTTCTCTTCCGGCAGCTGGGTTTTATGAGCTCATATGAAAAGAAAACTTATCTTAGGGCATTTAACTAGAGTTTGCTTATTTTCTTTATTCCTATTATATGTATTATATATATTTAAACTTTTACAATCTTTAGGAATATATTTATATATATTATTTTCCAGGGCTAGAGCAATAGCACAGCGGTAGGGCATTTGCCTTGTATGCAGCCAGCCCAGCCGAGCTGGGGTGGATTCCTCCACCCATCTCAGAGAGCCTGGCAAGTTAACGAGAGTATCTCGCCTGCATGGCAAAGCCTGGCAAGCTCTCCGTGATATATTCAATATGCCAAACACAGTAAAAAGTCTCACAATGGAGACGTTACTGGACCCGCTTGAGCAAATCGATGAACAACGGGAGGACAGTGCTACAGTGCAGAACAAATTATTTTCCTGATTAATTTCCAAATATGTTCTCATCCTCACCAGAGAACTTACCATCTGCCTTTAAAGTTTTCTTTCATTAAAATGAATTTGTATTCATGAAGCATTAGAAGAATTTAATGGGGAGACTTCAACTTACCATTGGAGAGAAGGTAGCATCATTGATAGAATGTATATGACCATAAAGTGAGTGCTCACATTTGCCCTAGGGAGAAAAAAATAAATAAATAAAATCAGATAAATTTGATTAAATATATGGGGAAAAATGGACAATTGCTTTCAAGCATTATTTTTCTTCCCAGCATCAGAATTAACACCTTCTCATGATGGGAAATATTAATTTGGAATAATTTAGGAGAGTGTTGATGAATATGCCACTGGTGCTGGTATTTTTATGAAAATTTTGTATCCTCTCTTTTACACGATTGATCTGCTAGCAAATTCTCACAAAGTGACTCTGCAATTAATATAGCTTTCAAGCGACTCAGTTAAAACCATGTGAAAAGTTTTTTGCTTTGAGCACATTTCTACCACAGAGAAGGGTGTGAAATTGTTCTAGTTTTGTCTTTTTTCTTCTTTCATCACAAGATCACTTTTTTCTTTTATTAAGTGGAACAATGCAGTTTACAACAGTTTCCATATTACTGTTTTATATTTGCACTGCGACTTCACCACCCCATCATCAGAGTTTCAGTAACCCTTTACCACCTTCTCAAGGCCGAGCCCCTTCCCCACTTCCATCTGCTGCTTCAGTTCTCTGTTCTGTTGGTGATATCTGGGGTTTTTTTTCACTTGAATTATTTAATTCCACTCCCACCCCGCATTTTGTATGTTCCACATATGAGTGCAATATCCTCTGATATTTTTCTTGTTCCTTTTGACTCATTTCACTTGACCTGATATTCTCCTATTTCATCTAGGTTCTGAGAAACTTCTGTGTAGGGTAACGTTAGTTTGTCCTTTCTCTCTTGCCACAGGGAGCTTAGGTTTATTGGGTTATATCCAGCACAGTGCCCCCTAGTCACTGCCATTCTTCTGTGCTTATCTGTAAGTTCTCTGTGCTCTTTTCCCCAACTGGTCTATCCCTTTTTTCCTAATCAGACTCTGTTAACTTGTAAAGTCAGATCCTTCTAAGGACACTGAACTTGTATTGTAAGTTAAATATTGCCTTTCTCTTCTCCTTATGTCTTTTGCATAGTTTACTTTAAAGTAATAACCTTTTTTGTATAGATATAGGAATATTCTGGAAAACCTGGCAGGCTACCAAAAGTATCCTAAACACAGGGCAAAGTCTGGCAAACTCCCCTTGGCGTGTTCAATATGCCAGAAACCAGTAACAATGATGGGTCTTATTCTCCTGACCCTAAAGGAGCCTCGAATGTGGCCCTTTTTAAAATCTCAGGGCTAGGACTAAGGAGACGTTACTGGGGCCTGCTGGAGGCAATCAATGAACAACAGGATGACAGTGATACAATGATACTTTAAAGCAATGTCCTTTTTTGTGTTGACACAGGAAGACAGTTGATATTTTCTAACTTGGGAGTTAATTGACTCAGAATAATATTCACTCCTTGACATCTCCTCTCTCGATTTAAGCCTCAGTCACCCTTAGTTCCTAGCACCCGCAAAGCAGGGTCCTGACGAGGGACTGGATGGACACAGGGCAAGCTGTGAGCTATCCTAGCATCAAAATGAGTCAGGCCAAAGCACCACAATACTAAACTAAGAGTTAAGAGTATGCTCATGGACAAATTCTGCCATGATCCAAAAAGTAACAAGATTAGGACCCTGTTAGGGTTAGGAAAGACTAATCTGGCCTGGGCATTGTAGTTTGAGATCTATAGGAAGATAGCTCTAGGAGAGTGATCCTATAATCTTAATGTATATCTTACTGTGTCCATACAAAATGATAAATATTATGATTGTTTATATGTTTGTTGGCCAATAGAGGAGACACAAACTCATGGGATTCTGCTTTGGGTGCGTTGTTACGCTGAATGAGAATCTGCCCTAGAAGAAGCTTCCCCTGAGGGAAGGACTTTACCTGTGTTGATTGTTTGACCATGCCTACATGTAATTATTAACCTACGTGTAATTATTATCCCAACCCCTCATGATTTGGGATTTAACTAAGACTGGAAGATCAGAGAAGGTGAGGCAGAAGCAGGAAGGAGAAGTATGAAGGAGCAGGATCTTAGAGGAGGATGAGGGGAATCAGGGAAGGGGGATGCGGAGGAGAAGGAGAATGGAGATGGGAATGGAATAAAATGCAACTGACACCAAACAGCCTGTTCTCTCCTTCATCTACCCATCACCATCCACCACGTCAGGAGTGGAGGAAGCAGTGAAAGACTATCAAATGTAGGCAGCGAGAGAGAGAGAGAGAGAGAGAGAGAGAGAGAGAGAGAGAGAGCAAGCTGCCACTGCACCTTCATAATTTATTTTTTGAATATACACTTCTGCTTTTTTTTTTTGGAGTGGGCCTCCCCTGGTCCCAGCTTTGTGCTCCGGGCCATGTCTTCGTGGGCCGTGTGGTACAGGGGGTGAGGTGGGGGGGTCCAACCTGGGCCTCCCAGACGCTCAGCCCCAGGGAGGTCTTCGCTCTGGGATCAGCCCTGTTTTCTCATCTGTTTTGCCCCTGTACAATTTTGGAGCAGGTCCCTGGTTCCCACGTGTCAAGTTGAGGTTCAGGTCCTGGTTCTCTGCCCCGTCCTTGTTTCCTTGCCTCTGAGGTGCTATATTCATGTTCTCTGTGCATTTGGGTTTATATCGGTCTCTGCTCTGATTTTGGCTTTATGTTTGCCAGGAGCTCATGTGTGGCATCTTGTGTGTAGCATAATCGATTCTAAGTTGATAGCAACTTGATTTAGAACTCATTTTAAGACTCTGTTGTTGTTATTAATTTGGGGGGCCACACCCAGCAGGGCTCAGGGCTTATTCCTTCCTCTGCATCCAGGGACCACTCCTAGCAGGGTGCAGGGGACCACATGTGGTGTTAGAGATCAAACCCAGGTCAACTGCATCCAGGGCAGGCAACCCGCCCACCAGGCTATCTGCCCAGCTGCTGAAATCTACATTTTCACTTTTCCCCCACCAAATTTGATGGGTTTTTAAATTTTTTTTTGATTTTTAAATTTTTTTTTTTTTGTCTTATAGGGCTGGAGTGATAGCACAGCAGGTAGGGCAGTTGTCTTGCACGTGGCCCACACAGCCGACCCGAGTTCGATTCCTTGGCCCTCTCGGAGAGCCCAGCAAGCTACCGAGAGTATCTCGCCCACATGGCAGAGCCTGGTAAGCTCCCCGTGACACGTATTTGACATGCCAAAACCAGTAACAACAAGTCTCACAATGGAGATGTTACTGGGCCCGCTTGAGCAAATTGATGAACAACGGGAGGACAGTGCTACAGTGCTTTCATCTTTTTTTCTTAGCTGAGTCATATCCCATTAAGTCAATATATCATGATTTCATTATTCATTCATCTGTGCTGGGTGTTTCTGTTGTTTCCAGGCCTTGGCATTGTAAATAATGCTACAGTGTATATAGGTGTGCTAATGTACTTGTGAATAGCGTTTGAATGCTCTTGGAACAGATTTCAAGAAGTTTAGTGTCTGGTCAATGGAAGTTCTATTTTAAGTTTCCTTAGGTGTGTCCACACCTTTTCCTTAAAGGCTAAGTCACACCACAGTACCATCAACAGTGAATGAGGGTGTGCTTTTCTTTATATCCTTACCATCACTGTTATGATAAAAATAATTATTTCCATTATTGATTATGTAGGCCATTCCCCCTGGTGTGAGGTGTCTCATGATTATTTTGATTTGCATTTTCCTGATTATATTTTAATTTCTGAATTTTCATAGTCAGACATTAATTATATTTATGTATAAAAATGTTATGCAGCATGTAAAGCAGGATTATAGCACAAGACAAATATTTGTTTTGGGTAAACAATATAATGTTTTATTTAATCCATTTTCCAAACAATAACTAAATTTAAATTAACCAGAAAATGTCTCAACGTTAAAATGATTTTACGAAAAATAGCACACATAGTGGTGCCTTTAATTTTAATACCAAAATTAAAATTCATTCTAGATTATCCCCCCCCCCTTTTTTTATGTCAGGTGGTGAGTTGGTGTGTCACACCCGGTGGTTATCAGGGTTTACTCCTGGCTCTGTGCTCAAGGATCACTCCTGGCAGTGCTTGCAGGGCCAAAGGCAGTGCCACGGATGAAACCTGGGTTGGGTGCTCAAAAGGCAGGTGTGACATCCTTTCTACTCTCTCTCCAGCCACTCAAAATGCAATCTAATTACTCAAAGAAACACTCAAATTCTATAAATTAGAGACATTTTAATCTGATTGACTGTATTTTATAATCTTGTCACGGGTCCAAATTCAGATTTTATTCAGCAATTATTCATTCACCAAATATTTTTGAGTACTAAATATGTTTCAGGCACACTTCAAAGTGCTTCAAAATCCATCAATAAATAAAGCACAGAGACCTTTCTCACTGACCTTATATTCTAGTGGTAAAAAGGGAGGGAAGAGGGTTGGAGAGATTGCATAGCAGGTAGGGCATTTGCCTTGCACGCAGCCGGTCAGGGTTCAATTCCCAGCATCCCTTATGGTCCCCTGAGTGTTGATAGGACTAACTCCTGAGTACAGAGCCAGGAGTAATCCCTGTTCCCTGTGTATCGCCGGGTGTGACCCAAAAAGAAAAAAAAAAGGGGGGGGGGGGAAGAGATTCCTGAAAACAGTATAAAAGATGTGAGAAGAAAAAAATAATGTGGAAATTAAAATTAAAATGTAGGCAGGGCAAGGGTCATCATAGGTTTAGTGGTTGATTGTTTCCAAAGAAATTAAATTGTGAAATAAAGTTTTTTGTTCACATTCACATTAAGACTGTAAGGGAGTTAGTCACATAGAAAGTAAGTCACACAGAAGAAAGTAATTCTAGAGCTGAACCATTCTGGTTACCCTCTGCTCACTCATCCAGGTACCTGAATGGCAGCAGGGCCCCTTCCAGGGGCTGCGTATCTAACTAGACCCCCTGAGAATGGCTGGTTTTCATTCTTGGTCTGTGGGGGACAGGAATTGAGGCACACCGCAGGCATCCAAAGCTGAACCATTCCGGGCAGTATCTGCTCACTCATCCAGGTACCCATCCAGTGGCAGGGCCCCTTCTCAGATCCATGAGT